ACCCCCAACTCACTCAGGCTGCCATGACCATTGACTCCACCCAAATCCTCGCTGGAATGTGTTTTGGAGGTTCTCCCCTTAGTTATTTTTTTCTAACCTGAAGTTATTTTGCATCTCTGCAATCTGTTTGCGATCCCCACAAACCTGCCTCCCTAATGTGTCTATCAGTGTCCTTTTGGCTACATATGGATCAGCACTTGCCTCAAAACTTCAGAAATAGATGGAATGACGAAAGCCTATTTTGTATTATTCATGATGGAGCTAGATGTTGTGGCAGTCAGAGAGGCAAGATTAGCATTCCCTTGTCTAGTTCTATTTACCCAAATAAAAACAGTTCTTGCAGTTTTAAATAAATCAATTTGAAATGTGTGTGTTTTTAAGCAAATCCAATCACTAGTAAAGAAATATATCTGGAGATCTCATAGGTAGTGTTTTGATGTGTATAAGTGCTCTTAGAGACTACCCAGCATTGCACAAGACTGACAAGGTCAGTGACTTGCCATTTATAAATTAATGCCATGGAGTGTAATCACTATGAGGCCTAATGTCAGTTCTTATAAAACAAAGCTAAAAATAATCGGCAGCAAAAGATTAAATATAAAATGGAGACGTGTCTGCAAATTATTTTAGTTCTGCTTACATGCAGAATTTTATTTAGGAGGATTTCAATGTACTTCTCACCTTTACACAGATTCCACACAATGGCAATTATGCTTTGAAACAAGTTAGATGTGGAAGACAACTACAAAGTCAAATGTCATTTCTGACTTTATTTTTAAAGTTGTTATCCTGGAAAAAAGTTTTCTGTGCTTTTCATATGAAAAAATAGTATCATGGCCACTAAATTACTCTGCACTTTTATTACATCCATTTTTACATGCTAGGCAGGAAAAAGTAACATTTTTCCACCGGAAGACAGACAGATGAATCAATGTAGGGTTCCTAATTTATTATGGGGTTTTCTCCCTCATTCAAACACTTTAACCTCCAGTTTCCCCCTTTCCAGTATGCGGCAGCTAGACTGGTGACTGGGAGCGGCCACTGAGACCACATAACACCGGTCTTGAAAGACCAACATTGGCTCCCAGTACGTTTCCGAGCACAATTCAAAGTGTTGGTGCTGACCTTTAAAGCCCTAAACGGCCTCGGCCCAGTATACCTGAAGGAGCGTCTCCATCCCAATCGCGAGAAGTGAAATTACAGGGAACCAGGCAGAGGGCCTTCTCAGTAGTGGCTCCTGTCCTGTGGAATGCCCTCCCATCAGATGTCAAGGAAATAAACAATGATCTGACGACATCTGAAGGAAGTTTTTAATGCCTGATGTTTTAATGTATTTTTAATCTTTTGTTGGAAGCCACCCAGAGTGTCTGGAGAAACCCAGCCAAATGGGCGGGGTATAAATAAATATATTATTATTATTATTATTATTATTATTATTATTATTAGAACACAGATACAAATCCACTGACTGAAATGAATCAATGTGTTGTTATCCTAGGATCACTGGAAATAGTCAATCCCTCTCATACTTTTGAAAAGAAACAAAACTTTTGTGGAGAAAAATCCTGATTGTCTAAATGGAAATTAGGGCATATAATTGCTGCCAGTCTCCAGAGCTTTAAAACGTTTGCACAAAGTTACACACACAGCAATAGGTTGCAAAGACAACTAAATTAGGCAGTCTACCATTATTGCCAGGACATTAATAGTTCTTGGCTTTGCTCAATTATTCAGCAGCAAAATACAGAGGAAAACTTGACAGACCTTTATCCTACTTAAATGTATAGTGTTTCGAGTCTTGCTTAGAGTCCTTGGAGAATTAAGCAAGAATTATAGCAATTTTACACCAGTGATTTTCCTCAAGTAATTCTGAATGCTGTAATTTGATGATGTTGGGATAAGAAATATTTATGAGAGATACCAAATCTGCTAAGAGAAATATACTTCAGAGTTAACAGAAAACGCTGTTAAATCTGTGCAAGTCACCACACATCAAATCAAGCACAACGGACAAGTTGCGGATTGTAGTTTGTCACATCTTATGCCCAATATAATAAATTCAATTTTACTTAGCTGATCTTTTGTGCTTGAAATGCCAATAGTTTGTAAATGTGAAAACATATAAGTGGACCAAAGCATGTTTTGGATCCAAGAACTGAAGAACAATTTACCTACCTGTGAGCCAGTGGATATTTGGACCTGCATCTGCTTATTGACCTCTTCCCTCCTCTTCCCTTCATCATTTTGTGTTGTGTCTTTTAGACTGCAAATCTACAGGCAGGAACTGCCTTGTTTGTCAACTGATCTATGTAAGCCATTCCGAGAGCCTATTAGACTGAAGAGTGGGATAGATTTTTTTTAAAAAAATGCTTCTAATCCAGTTGGAAGAAAAGGGTTTGTATTTTCCCTGGCTGAAAGTCCAATCTATGAGCTATCAAATTGTGTCCAGTGCCACTTCTGTTCAGGAGGAGGACAGAAGGTGGAAGGCTTAATCCAGCCTGCTGTTCTCTATTTTTCACTCCCAAGCAGAGGATTTGGTGGTACCAACTAAATCTTTATAGCTTTTGAATCAGATTTTCATCCTGTGAAATGCACATACAACACCCCTTTTGTGAATGTGTATCATCCTATTGGATCAGCTGTAACATTTAATGTAGAATCTGGAGATGAGCTGTGCCTTAAAGTAAGTAAAAAGAGATGCTTTTTTGCAAATAGGACGCAATCTACTAGTTCAAAAGTCTGCAGGAAAATTCTTAATCGTGGATGAGAAAGAAAACAACTGCAATGCCACAATTTCTAGAATTAAACCCTGTCAATTAAACTGCCATTCGTTTTTACACTGATAAAGGAAATTTATAACCAAGTATATGATACACCTGCAAATTTGTTTTTTTTTAATTTTGCACACATTTGATAGGAGGATTTAAGTTTCTAAGACTTTCCGCAGGGAACATTTGCAGGTATTTTTGGATATACTTTATGGTTTTATCCAAAATTATGACCATTCCCCCCATAGCTTTTCAGCAGAGAATAAATCTCCTAATATCTCACACAAAGATCTTGGAACCCAGCCATGCTAACCTCTTCACACTTCAGGCAGTTCATGGATCCTATTTCACGGCTCATTCAAAAGGAAGATTAGGAGGACTTTTTCCATTTCGTGTTTTAAATGGTTTAATTCACAAGGGACTAAAGTCAATGTAAGTATCCAAAAAACTATATATATAAAAAAGCATGCTTCCTGTGTAAGTCACATTTTGTCATCCTGATTAAATCATGATGTTTCTGTATAGAGCCATAAATTTATGTTGCCTCTTAAAACGATTCAGCAAGATGTGCAGTAGATACCTACTTGATTTTAATGCTTGGAAAGGGGGTGGGAATCAATTTTTAACTTAAGAAAGAATTCCAGTGTGCCATAAAAAGTAACTAGGTGGATTTCACCACAGTAGTGGTAAAACTAACTATGCATTTAGTTTGTGATCCATCAGACACTGCAAAAGTAATATATAGCAAAAGTAATATATTTTCTTCCTTTCCTCACAGACAATGTTATCCCCATAGCATCCTAGTATCCCGTTTTCATAAACACTGAGCAAACAGCAATCAGTTTTGCAGAGATGAAGGTACAACATGGAATCCAACTGACAAAAAAGTTCTGTGTGAGAAGAACCAGGCAGCCAAGTTTGGAAACTAGTTTAGCTGTTCAAAGTCCAAACAAGAGTTTGTGTCAAAGCTGCAATAATTGGGAGAATGAAATTCTCTAGAAAATTCTGCTGGATTGAAATTATTTTTTTTTGGGGGGGGGGTAATAAAAATTAACAGTATGTACTTATTTAATTTTTCTTTAAAAAAGAAATATTCCCTAATAAGGATCAGTTAAAACACACACACACACACACACACACCCAGCCAGACCAAGGTATAAAGCACAATGTTTGGCAACTTGATTTAATTATGGCCCTAAAATTCCTGTGCAGGATTTAAAGAGACAAAACAACTAAAAGGCTTATGGCACTGGGGTTTGTTCGTTTCTTTTACAACAGACTAACATGGCTATGCCCAGGATATTTCAATAAAATATCATATGAAGTTGAATTTCACAAACTTTTTCTGTATTATTATTATTATTCATTATTCATTATTATTATTATAAATTTCTATACCCCCCTTCAGTCCAAAGATCACAGTTTACAATATTAAAGCATAAAGATGTCTAACATTGTAATGAACAACAACAACAACACCCCCCCCCACAAACATGATTAAATTGCCATGGATTGTTTAATTAGGCGAAGGTGTGGGAGAAAAGAAATGTTTTTGCCTGGCACCTAAAAAATATGTGATGAAGGGGTCAGGAGAGTCTCCTTAGGGAGAGCATCCCACAAGCGGGGAGCCACTGCAGAAAAGGCTTAGTCTTGTTTTGCCATCTTCCAGACCTCTCACAGAGGAGGCTTGCAATTCTGAAATTGTGAAAAAAAATTCAAATTTGCAAAGCAAAGACTTCCTTTCTAGTTTCTGCCATCACAGGTAAAGGACCATACTGAATAAGGCAAGTATCTCAGAGTCATAATCCTCTGTACTATTTGCATTTACATCTATAGCCACAGAGATAGATGAAAATGCTTTGTGAAGAGGGTAATAACCATGTCAATTTTAACACTCTAAGATGAGTTTCCAGCAGCTTACATGCAAACCATGCTCTACAACAGCAAGGAAAACATTTTATTAGTCACTTCATACTGCTAAATCTCACCAGCTCTAACCACATCAAACAGCTGATGATAACTGTTTAAGTTAATCAGCAGAGTATTTCACTTATAGTGACTTTAAGATACGAGTTCTCTATTTCATCTCTTTCCCCCCACAATCTAGCATGCTGACAACTCCTTAGTGCTCTCTCATGTGCACAGTAACAAATACAGCTGGGCAGCCTGAGGCCACACTAGACATGACATATAGTCCTGTGTACTTTTCTCCTAATATTTTTTGTTTATTTTAAAGCTAAAGTAGCCTCTGCAACCTGAGAATTTGATCAAGTGGCCAGCAAGATTGGGAGAGGGTGCTTAATACTTCCCCAATTATCTGCATTTTTGCTCAAAATCCCTCTACTGCTTTGTGGGTGGGGGGTGTTATCAGAGAGGAGGAGAAGATATAGATCTATCTTTTCTCCTATATATTTTTCTGGGCAGAAGAATGAAGCAGGAAGAAATGCACTCAGATTTTTAGTCTCATGAAAGTTCATTTTCTTTTTAACTGCCAAGGTGTCCTGTCCTGAAGACAAGTGAAGTTCATGAGATGTGACAAACTTCAGGCATCAGGGCACAATCCAAACTCCCTTTATACCAGGTTGGCTTGGGGGTTTAGACTGGGTGCAGATGTCCTCCTAACCAGTCCTTCTAGCCTCTGCCTACAAAATGGCACTAGTGGAACTCCACCAGTATGTAGCTCTCTATTCCACCTGCTGAAACTGAATGTTGAAAAACTGCCAGTGGGCTCTCCCCAAGGGCAAGGAGGAGTAGAGATAGCCCAGTATCCATTGGACCCTGAGCCAGCCCCATTACCATCATGCTTTGGGCTTGATCACTATGTCAGTTCCAAACTGGCATAGTGATTTTCCTGCTTGCTTCCCCTTCTGCCCTGGTTGGTGTGCTCAACAGGGCTGCAGACATAGAGAAGGCAGGTATTACATAGCTCCAAGCATACACTTTGCTTAAACTTATCTTCCTTGAGCCTGACTCCTCTTCCAATGCTTTGCTCCCTTCTTGAGAGGACAGGGCAAAATTAGATATGTGCTTAAATTTGCAGGAGGCAGATTTGTTGGCTATTTGCAGTTTAGTAGCGCAGCAGAGAGCTTGCTGGGGAGACCATGCATAACAAGGAACTCAAAATAACTTTAAAAAGGTTTTAATAACAAAAACAAAAACTCCTTTTACACTAAAGATAACAACAACAAAAAACATGACCCAACCACCAACCCATCCCCCAGGGTGATGAGATCGCTAGGTGCTGCTCTTTATATACTCTACCCAATTGCTGACACAGCTTAATTAACACAACCTAGCAGCACCTGCTATGTTTCACAGCTGTAAGACTGGGTCTTGTTATTTGCCCTGGCCCTTAAAGACATACACAACTTGTGAAACAATAATGAACCTTCACATTTTAAAGTGACCATTCAACAAGATTATGTATTTAGAAATGTGACTGCATGCCCATCTTTTAAAGGTCCATGTCCTCACGTTTCCTTCCCAAAACAGACAGGTGCATTCCCCAGCATTAATTTTTTAGGCAGCTTAAGGTAAGACTGTGCATCTGTGTTTGTCAAAGGAAACTTGGGAAGAACCTCTGAGATAACATACTGTGGTATCGTGTCATAGAAAGTTAAAACTGCTCTAGAGATTACAAGAGTGAATAAAACCACTTAAGATGTTAATGGCCTACTGCTTTCCTGAGCTTGTACTTTTCTTCTTCTACCCCAACTTTCGCCATCTACATCTATAATCATGCCTTCCTTGTTTTGGTTTTGAAGAATCTATACTTTAGAACTCAGCAAGCAATACTCTCAACTGAAAGATAACCTTTAATAAGTTGATTTGCATATACATATATTAGCAAATTCTTTCCTTTATATATTTTATAGCCTATGCTGCATTTGTACACTTAAAGCAACAAACCAAAAATATTTAAATAACTCAATAACATTAGCTAAACAGACTGAGCACTTCCAGACTCTCACTCCTTTCAGGTGTGTTTCAATCACATACCTGCACATTCAGGTTGTGCAATTATAGTTGATTCAGATGTCTTAGGCAACAAACCCACTTTCCCAAAAGAAATGACTTTTTGCCATAAGGAAAGTGATGAAAATGCATTGGAAAGTATGGGATAACAGTTGCTTTGCTGCCACATCATCTAATATCCCCATAAACAAATCAGAATGAATTCTCATGAAACAGCCAATGTTGTCTAATCTCCCTCCAAACAAATCAGGATGAATGCTCAATAAACAGGTCATTTGGAAGCACCCTTAAACTTGCAAGCTACGTTAATCAAATCATGATTTGCTAATTGAGTTACACTACCACCCTAGCATGCCAGGAATTGAAATAGGATAATCTTTTCTGTATAAGAGCAGGATAGGGCAGATGGATAATTAATGCATCAATTTCCTCAAAGCGTTTTTATCCCCTTGGCTCTCATGGACACTTTGAATGTTTAAGCAAAGTTCTTTTCCTACACACCCACCTGCAAAAGGAGAGAAAGACTCTCAAAAGGGGTACCTTAAAAAAAACACCACCCCACCTTACTGGCCTCACAAAAGAAACCCACAACCCACAATATTCCCCTGGCCTTGCATGCAAAGGCCAGGGGAATATTGGAAGGGGCAGCAGTAAAGGTAATATACTTGTGCATTTAATTTTTTTACAAAATCTGTAGATAAAGGAGGAGAGGACTGAAAAGGAGGAGAGGACTGAAAAGAAAAGGGGGGAAAGTGGGGGGAGCACAGGACTGTATAAGAATGAGATTGGCAATTCTGCTTTGTTCCTGATGGGGATTATAAAAAGCACCTTGAACATACTGTGGCAAGGAACAGCAGCATCAGATGAAGCAGCACTGGGATGTGACCTGAATAAATTACAAGCCTGCAGACTAGGACTGAGATCTAGTTGACTTTGTGCCAGCAGTTCAGAAGCAATGGAGCCAATCCACATGAGAGTTTGCTTTGCACTAGGTGAGGCTTGCCCCACCCCCAAATAGGCTCTGGGCAGCTGGGGAAATATGCTTTAAGTGTATGGTGTGTACACAGTCTGTGTAAAAGCAGATGGTGTTCTGGGTTTCAGTAATTTCAAAAATTTCTTACATGCTATTCTGGGATGAGAGAAGAGATCATAGTTCTCTGCTAATGCAAAAGATGTTGGCATGTTTAAAGGATGCAGGTTACATCTAGGGTGCAATTCAACGTAGTGCTCTTCCAAGAGTTTCATCTGTGCAAGCAATGATGCTACCCTCCTTCCCTCTGCACACTGTTCTGAGGGTTCTCGACCCCCTCAGAGCCTATTTGGGGGGGGCATGGAGAGGGAGAAGAGTTATCCCCTTAAAATGCAAATTCATTGCAGTAAGGACTTGTCATTTTTTGCTCAGGAAATTCATTAAAGCACCCTGCATACAGATTATGCACCAGTTAAAGGGCATTATGTTGGAGAGCTAGGAAAAAACTTTGACCCTGGACAGTATTAAGCCAGAGGAACAGTTGACCTGATTTGAACCAACCAGAATAGGTTGCTTGCTTGCTTCCTAAAGTACAAATCGCAGCTGTTGTATTGCCTGGGACTCGAGGGGTATCATTTCTATTACTCTCAACAGCTAAGTAACATTCAAATCAACTTCTCAGAGCATAAGCCTATTAAGAACTCTTGAAAGTTGCACAATTAGCATTTTAAAAGGAGAACAATTATCTGGTATATCACAAAGTGTGCTTTGCTCTATGGAGCGAGCTGATGGTCCTTACTAGTGTTATGACTAGATTTTTAGTATTCACAGATTCTCCAGTTCTCAGAACAAGACGGTTTATAGCCTCCATTATACTTTTCTTGTGGAGAAAAATTAGCCTGGGATCACAAAGTAACCTTTTAAAGGTTAATAGTCACCAGAAATAAATGTTAAGCATATTTTCCCTATTCCTGATAGATATTATTCAATTAATCTGAAACAAAAAAGTCATGCTTTAGTTCAGGTACATGCTTAGCGTACCGAATAGCTTCCTTCTAGTTGGATTAAAATATTTCCCAAAATAAAGAAACCTGGGTGTTTTATCTGGAACATATCTGGCAGAAAATCTGGAAAAGCTAGAGGGGCATAAGAATGTGTTTCCTTACTATTCTATTCCATATTGAACTTTGACTTCACGTCAGAGCCTAAAACCACCAGCTTACTAATTAGTATGAAATATCAAGGAGAAATAAAGTTTGGTTCATATTTTAATGTGAACTTTGCTGATCCCAGACTTATATCAATAGGATTTTGTACCTCTCTGAAGTTCTGCAATTTCAGTGTTAAAAACCCCCAGCATGCTTGATGGGGGAAATGAGTGTACAAAATTGTACACTGAAAAATTCAAGTAAATAAAATTATGTTGTAGCCAATGTAGTGCATGTAAGAAAAATACTGGGGCCTAATTTGAATAGTAAAGTACTTTGTATCTGGTGGGTGGGGCTTGTGTGTTATGTTTCGGAATCAGCCCCTCCCTTCAATGTGTATTTCATTAAGAATGTCAGGTAAGAGGGACCAACTGCCTCTTCTTGCTTCTTGCCTCAGACTTGCCTCATGTTGTTTTATTTAGTTTCTTTTATCATGTTATTTTGTTACAGTTTTCTCTCAGTTTATTACTGAAGCTTGTTCACATTTACGTGAGCCACTTATTTTTCTCAAAGAAAAAGAAACTCTGCTGAAGAATGGTGGAATATCCTAAACTTGGGTTTGTGGGAGGGTATTCCCAGTTTGCCAGGAGGAGTAATCAACCCCTATCTCCACAGCAGTGCTCAATTAAAATCATTAGCAGTATGCTTGTTCTGCTGCAAAATGTTGTTGTACACAAGAATGCATAAGCTGTTTGCTGGTTATGTTATTGCACAATAGATTGCACAATCTGTTGTGTAATGAGTTTCCGCTAGCACAACTGTTGTGTTGGTTTCCTCTGTTGCATTCAGCTATCACCTGTGGCTCCTAGAAGCTGTCAGCGTGCAACAGCAGCCATCCCTCAGGAACAGCTTTGACTGGACAGCTAAAGCAGGTGAGGGTAGACAGTGGGTCTCAAACCCTCAGTGAGTTAGGGACTTCCCCTGCATGCAAAGACAGGCTACGATGGATTGAATGGACAAGACTAAAAGTGGGTCCAATGGTGAAGAAGGTGGTTTCTGCACATGCTGTAGAAGGAAGTGAGGGGCAGATGGGGGTGGTCAACCTGGGAAGGTAGTCCATCTAGGGCAGGCTTCCTCAACCTCGGCCCTCCAGATGTTTTTGGCCTACAACTCCCATGATCCCTAGCTAGCAGGACCAGTGGTCAGCGATGCTGGGAATTGTAGTCTCAAAACATCTGGAGGGCTGAGGGTGAGGAAGCCTGACCTAGGAGATACAAAACTCTGATCCTAAACCTCCACTGACTTGTGGGTATACTCACTTGTGAGAAAAATCCATTATCTGCTACCATGTGGGATATCTTCGGGAGAAGAGAAGGCTAAGGAGCAAATCCTACACAAATCCAAAGTACAGTCCCTAAGACAGTTGGTTGGAGACTTATACTCCTCCTTGCAGCAACTCTTGCAGCCAAGCTAGTGCCAAATGTATTGCTCTGCTTTCCTTTGGACCACATCAGTGAGGCTGAGAGGGGAGGCGGTCTTGTTGTCTGGGCAGCCCAGGACCTCCATACACACTGCCCAGGCTTGCACCCTGGAGAGGTCACTTCAGTGATGCTAGTGCAAAAGCAATGAGGAAGGCAGTAGTTACTCGTCTCTGCAGCCACAGCAGGCACTGTGATTTTTCTGTGGTCTGACTTCATCCCAGGAGGCATACTCAATTGTCTCTTGAGACAGGCAGATGCAAACAAAAGACCTCATATTTTTATGAGTAAACAATGGATTTTCAGTAAGTCAGGAAGGTCAAGGTTCCAGCAATTTCCTTTACCTTTTCACGGACTCCAAATTGTCAAAAGGAAAAACACAACGTATGCTATGGTATGGGTGTGTGCTATATGGTCACAACCAGGAGAACTTTGCTCTTCCAGGGGACATATCTGAACTGCTGCATCTTAGTCATTCCTTAATAGATTTTTGCTAGGATTTTGCCAGTTTATATTAGTCACAACACAAGTACTCCATGTCAAATTTCACCAAGATGGGTCCAATTATTTTTAGTTTATAATAATAGAACACTTCTATAATAATATACCAGGCTTCTGCTTTAATATCCAGCACTCTCCATCCTGTTTAATCAGACCTATATCAAAGAAAGGAAGACCTGCAAGTACTACATATTCTTCAACCAGATTTGAACATTGCAGAAGAAGCAACGTTGCCCATAAGCAGGAGCTGATGCCACAGGTATAGGACACAGCAACCTGGAAGAAGGCAGCAGTAGCTTGTAATGTATGGTTTCCCCAATGTTTTCGATGAAGCAACCAGAAAAAAAAAGACAAAGTCTGCAGCAAAACCTTTTAAATAGAAATAATTTACCATAGCCTTCTCAGGGAGTGCAGTACATTCTTACGTCCATGGAGTTAAAGCAACAGACAAGCAAAATTGTGGGATGATGCATGAGGTTTACAATTTTTTGGTACACTGCCATCTTATCTACAAGAACTGCAGCTGGTGCAGGACAAGGAAAAAAGGGACCATCTCCCTAGAAGATTAATAGTTTGCTGCATGGAAGAACAAAGTGTAGATAAACATAAATAAACATGCATTGAACACCGTCTGCTGCGTATGAGCTAAATCATTCTGCCAAAGGGAAATAAAGAAAAGCTACTTTAACATTTAGAGCAGTGCAAGACAGCATGGATAAGCTCAGGTAAGCAGAGTTTACTGGCAAAACAAATCCCCAGCATTAACACCTGAATACATTTTCTGACATGGTGTACTTTATTAAAGATGCTTTCCAGCCACTGAAATCCAATAGTTTAATTGCACTAGGAAGCTGATGAAGATAAAAACGTTAATTCTTAGGAGCATGCTTTATCAAAGGATGTAAAATGCAATCTGAAAGACACTGATGTATTAACATTCAAACAGCATCATTAATGTAATTAATTCTCGTTCTAAATCTCCTCTTTTGTTACTAAAGTCCTGTGAGATAAGCAGGGTTTATTTAAGCCTGTACACGTACACACACACACACACACACACACACCTAAAGATAACAGAAAACAGATTTATACAGATGGGAAATCTTCAATTTCTAACCATTGTTCTTTGTTAACAAGTGTGGCATTGACTTCTGATTAAGCCAGAGTTTTTCCAAATAACTTGACTTGTTTCACTAATTTGAAATTCATTCTTTTTATAACACATACCATTAAATATAAAAAATTCTTAAACACTTTACAATAAGAATTCAATAAAAAAACCTATGAACAACATCCAATTACCTCAAAAACTGGATAGAAATGCTACTGTACATCACAAATAAAACTGAGCAGTGTACAAAATTGGGAACGTGTTTCAGAGGGTGGGTGCTAACACCAAGAAGGCCTGTTATTGCTTTGTCACAAGTGGTATTATGGAACGATCAGCAAGATTTCCTCAAAGATCATATGACTGGCCTGGCCTGGGCTGTACTGGAGAAGGTATCCTGGTCCCAAGTTGTTTAGGACTAAGTATCAATAAAATAATCTCAAAATTGGCTTGGTAGCTAATAGGCGCCCAGCGCAGAACTTTTCACACTGGTGTGATTATGTGCAAATCTGGTTGCCTCAGTAACTGCATTTTATGCTGTTTGCAACTACCGAATCAGGCACAGGAGTAGAGCCAATGGCAGTGCATTAAAGTAATCTAATTGGGAGGTTACCAATGCATGAATCACCATGGCAAGACTATGCTGTCTAGGAATGATCCTAGTTGGCACACCAACACAAATTAATTATGGGCACCCCAAGACACTGACATCACTAGGGATTCTAACGACAGTTCATCTAGGATCACCCCCAAAGTATGCTACTTCAAATGCAGTGTGACCCCATCTAGAGCTGGTACACAATCTAATTCCCAGACTTGGGAATTAGCCATCCACAGGGCCTCCACCTTGTCAAGATTCAATCACAGTTTATTATCCTTCATCCAACCCATGGCAGTATCCAGGCACCAGTTTGGGAAAGGCAAAGCCTGTCCTGATTCAAATATTACAAAGAAACAAAGATGCGTATCATCTGGATATTAGCTCACAAAACTGGATGTTCCCCACCCCTGATTTAAAGGTTTGAAGGTCATCACCAGCATATATATTCCTCTGTTTCTCATCCCTTGGTCACTCGCAACTGACTCCATCATTATGTTTGAGAGCACAGGAAGTAATATGAAAGTTCTGTACACAGTATGGATCTGTGCGGATCATTGACTCATGCAAATTACAAAGGAATACAATCATTAAGTGATGACAATGCACCTATGAACCAGCTTCAAAAGTACCCTTTTGAATTATGCACATTTCAGTAAATACAAATAAGAAATATGATGCAATAGAATTGGAGTAAAAATTAACAAAATACTGGTGTCTATTTGTTTAGTTTGCAGTGGATGCTTGATAGATGCACTTAAGATTTACCGAATGACTACTAGACTTTATAATTCTCTGGTGGAGGTGGGGGAATGCCTTTTAATCAGTCCGTAGTTAATTGGTTTTCATTGACTTCTTTTATCCAAGTTGCCTGGAATGATATATGCATGCAAAACTTTTAAACCTCCAACAATCTTCTCTTCAGTTTTCCTGATATTCACAAGAATGCAAAAATGTGCCCTATTTAAATATTATTGCAATGCACAATGAAATCTGGTTAACTATACAGATTTATTCTTTCTGAATTTCAGCATCATTCTATAAGTATTAATACATAAGCATTTAAATATATATGCATGGTTATATGTATTTTTAATGTGTCAATTACTTTAGGAAACCTGGAGTCTGTAGGCTTACATTATACATATAGTAATGTGTATAATAATACACATTATATGCAATAATTGTTCATATTTTTAGAAGTAGTAGTAGAAAAGCCCAAACCCCTCACTTCCAATCTTCTAATTCCAAGATGGGAATTAGGGGAAAAAAATCAGTTTGGATGCACTCAACATTGAAATTATAAGAAAATTCCATCCATACTGCTTATTCAATCATGATTGGTTTGCACTCACCACCATTTCTAGAAGCTTGGTGTAACTCCTGATCATTAAAGGCCATTAATTTATGTCCCTATTGCCAACCATTGAGTGTCATGCTGTGTAAAGGCCCAGGGCATTTCCAATAACCTACAAGTTTGTTATGCAAAATATGTTATCATATTTTCCACACTATGCAGAAAGTTTATTGAAACTTATAAGCGAACACCCCAATAAATGCAATCGATCGATCAAAATAATATAAAACTGCAAAATCGTGAAATACCCATAAATCAGACTGGATAGTACAAGACAGAGGAGAAGATGGGTAGCATTGTAGGTATTGCAAAATATTTCAGGGATAGGGCAGGATGGAGTGCACAAGAAAGATGCATTTTTATGGATGCATTTTTGTAGGCTTGTCTGTATGGGCATGGGCATGTTGAAAATGATAATAATGGATGGATGACCAACCTTTGCATAGGCACTGCAATGAACACATGTAACTAGGTTTGTGAATCTGCTGGAAAGAGGCAAGATGGGAATGCAGGCTTAGTCAGGGCAATGAGTTAGGTCAGCACACCTGCTTGCGTTTCATGCTGTACTACTGCTTGCTCTCCAGCTCAGTGTTCTACACTAGAGGCAAAAGTGCTCCAAAGCTCTTGGAGCTCCATAATACGCACGAACAAGATTGGCAGCACCTCATTTCAAAGCCCTGACTTCTATTACACTGGGGGGGGAAAGTTGACCTACAATAGTTTTATAGGTCTGAGGCATATGAAGCACCAAAATAGGACTTTGCACACAGCCTCCATTTCTTTTAATCCAGCTTTCTTTAATCATAGCTTCAAGGGCATACGGAGGTCTAAATAGACTTGATTTTGAAGCACAGATGAGCAACCTATTCCTTTTTGCCCTTGGAGTTAGAGAAGCACAAATTATGCAAGTACAAGTAGGATTGCAACTGACACAGCAACCCAAAAACACAATATCTATGATTATAAAAATAAAAAATGATGTAGATCATCCAAAGAGGATGTGTGTGAAGCTTTCCCTTTTTTTTCTAAAACATTGTACTAAACTTGACCTCTGTAAAAAAGAATAAGAGGTTGCACATCTTGTGCAAAAACCAAAAGGGATCTGGCAGGCCATTTTATTTATTTATCCTTGCAGCATATTGGGAGCATCATTTTAGAACTCCAACACATGACAGGAAGCATCTGCCTGGCTGCCCAGATACAATACTCCTTAGGCAGAGGAAACAGGGATAGGATGCTGCCCTATACAAAGTCAAAGTGTTTGTCCATTTAGCTTGGCATTGTCTAGCTGACTGTAGCTCTCCAGGGTCTCAGGAAGGTGGCATCTTTCGCATCATCCTACTACTTCATCTCTATAACTGAATACATGAGGGACAGAAAATGGGATCTTTTGCTTCTGAAGCTTGTAATCTACCAGAGCTATAGTTCCTAATTAAGCTAAGTAGGCCAACAAGGTTCCATGTGGGTCTGCCTTTGAAGGTGGTTCAGAAACAGCAACATGTACACAGTGTGGCTGAACATAAGAAGAACCTGGTTCAGGCCAATGGCCCATCTACAATAGTCCAGCATCCTGTTCCCACAGTGAACAATCAGATGCTTTCTCAAGCGTCTAATATTAGGCTCAGCCAAGGAGCATGACTCATTTTTGGAGATGCTTTTTGTTACTGGAAGAAATGTACACTCTAGGCTAAATCCTGTTTAAGAGAAAAGCTGTACTTGGAACCAAGGCAAACATGAGAGATCTTCACTTGGTGCAGTGCCACATAAATGTTCATCTAATAAAGTGAAGTGGAAAAAACACAATATGAAAACTATGTTTTAGAAAACTACATCCTCAATCCAGAAGGACTTTAGTGAGAGTAAGTCTAATTGGCACACTTATTAGTTTATGTCCGGGATCTAAGTGCTGATTCACACCACAATGAGTCATGGAATTACCGTAGAATTTTCTCTATTCATGATCAAGGTCTGAGGTAAACTGAAGATGCCACGGACAGAACTAGCATTTCCAATTGAACGTTCTTGTTATATGTCTTCCATACAGAAAACAGCCTCAGCCCAAGCTCTTTTCTTGCTATAAGTCTTCTAGGATTATTTGCCTTCACCCTCTGAAATAACATTAACTGGCAGTCTTTTAATTGCTTTTACTAGGGTCAGCTGAAGATACATTAACACTGAAGATACATTAAAGTGAGAGGTCAGAGGGAACATACATGAAAGGTGACTACTGAAGCCAAGAAGCTAGGATGATGCCGAGCAACAGAGCAAACTAGGTCATTTGACTCGTGACTTGTGTATTTGGATGCTAACTGTATTTGCTTAACAGTTCATTTCTTCAGAGAATGCAAAATCTGGCTCTTTAAGGCCATGAAACATGGTAACATAATTTGTATGTAAGTTAGATTCAAAAAGAAATACTGCAAATGCAGTATTAAATACCAATTTACACATTTAACAAGCACCATTGGAAGCATTTGCATGCAGTAATAGATCACCTTCTTAATAATAATAATATTTCTTATACCTTGCCCATCTGACTGGGTTGCCCCAGCCATTCTGGGTGGCTTCCAACAAGAATACAAACAAAACAAACAAATCAAATATTAACAGCTTCCTGAAACAGGGCTGCCTTTAGATGTCTACAAAAAATTATATAGTTGACTCTGTGACATCTCTTTGACATTGCAAAATGTGAGATTAGATCACATCTATTTTTTACTCATTGACACACTCTTCAATTTTCATTCTTTAACTGATTCCATTTGTGTGTGTGTGTGTGTGTGTGCATGCAAGTAACATGAGGTACAGCAGGTGAAAAGCATTGCAAAAGCATCTTTATACAGATTTTGCCTTTTGTTTCCTATCACTCACAGTTCATGTAATCCTGCATTAAACATGAGCAACTCATTTAAAGACTTACCTTCAATTCATTCCTAAGGAAGTGAATAGTCTGTAATGGACATACAAGCAGGGAAAGGCAACAGATTTTTTCCAAGGTGCCTGAATAGGTATGGAAGCTGGATGAAAAGTGCAGAACCTGAATAAAGCAAGGAAGAGAGATTACATTTACACGTGCCTGAAAAGTTAGAGAGAAGTAATATCACTGGCATTTTCCCAATCTCTCTCTCCCTGCCTCTTCCATATTGCAGATTCACATCCCTTCTCAATGCATTAAATTTTTTGCTTAAAATGCATATAGGGTGTGCATTTTAGAGAACGAACAGTGAGTTGCATATATATATATATATATATATATATATATATATATATATGAATGAATATAAATACATTCTAACACTCTTTCTCGAAAGTGGCCAACTAGATGCTTCTAGAATATCTCATGGAATGTTCAAAGGCAATAAACCTGGCAATAATGTGATGGAGCAAAAAACAGAGGTTGTCTTCTATTTTACCTATTTATCTGTTTACTGAAGGCATCCAATATACATAATCTATCTATTAATTATGTAGTAGGTTCCTTTGTTTGTCCCAAACCTACCACCATATTGTACCGCTAGGCGCTTTTGCATTTGAAACAAAATAGAATAACATCAATGGCGGACCTTGATGTCTCATACTTCAGTGGGGCCTGTGCGATGTCAAAATGTGGCACCCTCCCCCTACCTTTTGCCTTCCATTGGATGTCATAGCTGCAGTGCCCCAGAAGCTCTGCACCTGGTGCGATGACACCAGTTGCGCTCCCCTAGATCCAACTTTGATAACATCTCCACTATTCACGCTCTCCTTGCCATTGATAAGCCACTATCATCATGTTCCTCTTTAGGCTTAATGTTTTCTAATTTAAGAAACTCCAGCCTCTCGAACCTTCCTCCATATGGATAATCTCTTTCATTTGAGTTGCAGAAGTAGGAAAGCCAAATGGATGTATTTTAGTTATCTGTACAAGCTTTCTGATTGTTTTCGATCTGTCTCCCTATGCCCCCTTTCAGATTATGATGAAATATACTTCATACTTAGGGTATCCTAATATTTCTGCTGAGCTATGTAGTTGCCAGAGCATAATTTCAATGCGGCTTTTGAAAAACCAAAATGAAAAAGCAGGTATCATTAAAATGTCAAACTTGGCAGCAGGAAGGTCAGCACTTCTGTCTTGCAGATGAGCCCCATATTAATCCAGATAATCAGAGCAACACTGTGAGTCCTTCTAAGGGTAAAAACTGGCACTTGTCCACCTTGTCTCCATGGAAATGTAGTCTTGTTTAATATCTCTTTACAAAATGTAAAGAAGCTCTGAAATTTACAAAGGTAATCTTGTTTTATTTCATGCATATCACTGAGCATGCCCAGAGCTATGCTAGTCAGCTACAGCCACTCAGGAATCTTAAATATATTGCTGAGATTGCTTTCTTCTTTTCTGGTACCATTTTCCCAAAGAGTAAAAGAAGTGCAGTAGCCATTTATCTCTGCATATAAATCTCAAAAGATTTATTATATGGAGAGTCATTGCAAATTGCCTGTCGAAATTGCGTTCGTGATGAACAAGAACGACACTAAATTTTGCAGCTTGATTAAATCTCCCAGATAACATAGTAATGAATGCAAAACTCTGTCACTAAAATAAATGTGGGTGTTCTTCTCTCAAAAGTAATATGTATTTATTTCATTTGTTTATTTGAACCAGGGGTGGAGCGAATCAGTGATTATGTGCTTCAGTTCCTTTATTTCACTGGGTACTAGACAGCTTCATACTGACACCATCTTGTAATGAAGATGCACTGTAATTGCCCAGCATTTGACGGATGTGCATAGGTATACTTGCTCTGCTTTGTGTGTGTGTTTGCCTAGGGGTGAAATATGGCCACACCACACCCCCTTAGTATCACCACTTACAGGGCCTGCTTCATACCCCAAATGTTTTTGCTTCACTGGAATGTGTTCTTGAATTCCTATGCCTCTTGTTTCTCTGCACAGAAACTAGCTTAGTGAACAAAGGTAAAATGTACCTTCGTAGCTCTGCCCATTTACCTGAATTTGAACCTGACCTAGAGGATACCAACTTGGAAGTGACCCCATCCCAGGAGGCACTTTGCTGAGGGCCCCCTCAAACAGCCCTCACATACCTGGTTCACCACAAGCAAATGGAATTCCAGGTCAAAGATAAATAATATGATGCCAGAGGGGGCTGCTCAGTGATTATTGACTATGTATATTAGAAAGTACTATGCTCCGGTTAAAAAACAAAAAGGCAGCACCCATCCACCAGGAGAGACAATAACACATTCACAAACTGGAGGAAGGGAATGCAGGGCTAATGCAAATTTGCTAACAAATATACAGAAATTTCAGTGATAATACACAGAAATGTGGACCCCGCAACCAATTTCACTCAATTGAATTAAATATCAGACTATTACAAATGTTCTGCACTGCAGCTTGCCACAAAGAATTACAGTGGTACCTTGGGTTAAGAACTTAATTCGTTCTGGAGGTCCGTTCTTAACCTGAAACTGTTCTTAACCTGAGGTACCACTTTAGCTAATGGGGCCTCCCGCTGCCGCCGCACCAACGCCACACGATTTCTGTTCTCATCCTGAAGCAAAGTTCTTAACCCGAGGTACTATTTCTGGGTTAGCAGAGTCTGTAACCTGAAGCATCTGTAACCTGAGGTACCACTGTATCTTCCTCCCCCTGCACAATGTTCTGGGGTTTTTCCCAACCCCCTCTGTCGGAGCCAGCCATCACAAATGGCGCAGTTTAGCATAAAATAAAGACACAGAGAGCCAGCAATATTTTCAGGATGGTATGAGCAGCTCCTTTCAAACTTCTCTTCTCTCCCGTAACTTTTATTATCCTTTGTTCTCTCCTCTCGCATGGCCGTTTGCCAGTGTCTCACATTACCTACATCCGGTCATGGCTTTAACCCACCCATCGCCAAATAGGGTCATGCTGCCCAGAGGGGGAACATAACTCCATATAAGGCTATGCACTTAATACACTGCAAGGCACGGACATGCAGGTCACTGAGGTCAGCGAGGCACCAGGTGGCGCTACAAGCCTTTTTCATGACTTCCTGGCTCCCACACCCCTCCCCAAACCAATTTCGGGGGGTACATATGGGAAAGAAGAGGAGAAACCCCATTTCTCAAGCAGAAGTCCTTTTTAGGTGAATCTCGCCCACTGATCTTTATTGATGAGATTCCAAGTATGTTTATATTGTTTTATGCATGTTTTAAAACATTCCTACAGATGCCTTCCTCAAGCAAGGGCCCTCCATGCAACTCATACTAGGGGTGGAGAAGCAGGAGAAGAAAATTCATTGTGCTTTCCCATCCCAACCTACATATTTAGTCTGTATGTAAATAAGGCTGAACTTGACAGATTTTTGCCATCCATGGTTAAGGTATCGTTCAGATTTATTATCGGTGAATCACCTTTCTGAGATTAAAAACCCAGTAGCAATTAATTTGTCATCTTCTGAAATATTTGGCAAGAAGCTACTCCTGTCTAACAAGCAGCCATGAAATTCATATTCAGAACCTCTCTCTGGGAAATTAATCCTCAGCAATAAATTGCCTTTACTATGGAGAACAATTATTACATTCATGCTCCATTTATGACATGTGGCCAAACTGATAACTCATCTATGATAATATTCTCTCTCTTTCACACTAACGCACACCCCTGCCTTCATGGCCAAGAATGCTAGCCTCTTTACATTCTTGGGAGCTACTTATGATAGTGTTCTGGGGGCCAGAAGTACATTTATGGTTGCCTTAGAAGTTTCCAGACTCCATAATAAAGCTGTTTTTGTGTAGCGGCAAGAATTTCACAGTACTGTAGTGCACATCCTCAGGTATAGCATTAGCATTCAAATACAAACATTTATATGTTATCTACACATTACATATAAAATGCAAGAGAGAGATGGGGCATTAAAGTGTGAAAATATATTCCTACAACCTAAATGCATCTTTCATTTCAAGCTGTGGGTAAACATACTGGATTCAAATTTGACAGTCACCAGGGACCAGATAAAATCACTCTAGTGGCTAGATATGGCATTTCAGTAGGTCATCCCTGAGCTAGTTTATTTCCTATTGTTGTTAAGTGTTGATAATTCTTATACCTTTGCAAAATTTATAATTTTGCAATTATACATAATAGTTTTGCATAATTATACAAATAATTTCAGGAATGGCTTTCAATTTTTTTCTTCTTCCAAACAAGTATTTTGGGTAAATACAGCAATATCAAAAGCTATATCTATAGCTATATCTATATCTATAGTATAGTATCTTAGGCCAAATGACAGAAAATCTCACCACAAATGGGTAAGTAAATAACCCCCATTGTAAAGGATAGCAGTGCTGCTTTCCTCATGGAATGTCTTGCGTTGGAGAACAGCTGTTTTGTTTCAATTATTTATGATCACAACTCGGCATGCTGTACATCACTAGAAATGTTATTGTTTGGTTTTGCAAAGGCACACATGCCCTAGCAACAAGACATCCCTCTAACCCATCTGTTGCTAAATCTTTGATGGAAATGGAATGAAAACTTTTCATTTGCTGGCTGTTTGTCTACTTGGGCAAGAATTAGTTAAATTTTAAATGAAGAAGGAAAAGGAAGGTAACACTAAAAGAAACATTGCATTAAATTGGATTTTAAAACATTTCCCCCTTGCATGCATGACTCACTCCATATGCAACATCAGAGGATATACATGCTAAGTAAAACAAACACACTATAGTTAAAATACAGCAACAATTAACTTGTTGAAAAGCACATTCAAATGGGATGAAAAAAGGTGGCTACATAGTTTCCATATCTTTCCTTTGATTTGTTT